AATTTTTCATTTTTAGGTAAACTATTCATTTAACAGTCTAATATGTATTAACAGTAATATATCAGAGTAATTGTACCATATGTAAAATAATGTATGAATAAAATGTGTGAATGTGTGAATGAAAATGTTTGTCATGAACCAATTGCTACTCCACTGGTTTATTGGTTGTGGGTCAGACGCAAGCTTTAATGTCAAGGTTTGGTCTGGTCTTTGCAAATTCTTTGAGTTTCTTGACGCCATCTTTGGTAAACTTGTTGTCAAACAACCTGCGATGAACAGAAAATATATTTGTGTTACAGAATCATGAGGAAATAGACTATAGTAAATCAGCTCTAAATGTTTCTTACCACAGATACTCTAATGTAGTGTTCTCTTTCAGGGCAGCCATGAGGACTTCTGCTCCTTTGTCTGTCACTAGGTTGTCACGAAGCCTATAGGATGCAGAATGTTTCAACTCAGTGAACTTTTCAGATAAATAAATTATTCAAGAGATTGAAATGATGGAGATAAGTCTCTTTTACCTGATATCCGTCAGTGTGCGATTCGTCCTCAACAATTCTGCAAGGTAACCAGCTCCAACATCTCCAATTTTATTTATGGCCATTCTAATGAAAGAATGATATTGTAAACACTCACAAGTCAAGTGCAACATATGGGTATTTTTAACTGAAAATTAGATTTTTTCACCTGAGATCAGTCACAGTACGATTTTCTTTCAGCGCTTCTACAAGGATCTTCAGGCCTTCACAGCCAAGTCCTGTCGCAACCACCCTAGAGTGAACATACACAGCCATAATAAATTTGAGCTTGTAGCATAACTACTTTTATTTATTTATTTATACATTTAATTATTATTTTTGTTTAATTTGATACAGTATTTGCAATGTCATTTGAATTTATTTCAAATATTTTATTTGACATTTTTATTTACTTTATAGTTTTTTAAAAATGACTATATTTAAATTAAATTTGTACTTTTTTTACCCCACTTACCACAGCCTATGAATTCGACAATCTGGGTTTCTCAGAACAAGAGATAACACAGACGCTCCCTCTGAACCAAGAGGATTCTGGCCCAGGCTTTATGTAAAGAACATACAATAATTATCACAAAGCACAAAAAATAATATTTAACATCGAGTGTGTCACATCTGCCTCCAAACAATTATGCCTACAGTTACAGTATTTACCTGAGCGTTGAAAAAAGTGGAAGGACTGGTAGGAGCCGGCGTAGTCCTTGAGCATCGAGTCCTTGAGCATCTAAATTTAAAACCAGCAGGTCTGGACTGAGCTGTAACAGGAAAGCCAGCTCGCTCCAGTCCCTGTTTACCGAACCAGACTGATCAAAGGCCTGCTGTGAAAGAACTTTCATCCAACTCTGTAGCCGCTGTGACAAACCAGGGTCCTGGGCCTCATATAGACAGTGGCAAACGTTGACCTGCCTCTCCGGGCTGAGGGTGGAGCTCTGGAGTTGGGAGTGTAACAGATGGAGAAGGAAAGGTGGAGTCGGGTCTGGAGAGGGCTGGCAACGGAGCAGATGCATCTTGGGCCCATCAGGGAAAAATCCATTTAGGATGAGACGTGTTCTGGGAACCAGCAGGCCGCATACAAACCTGGATAAGCAGAAATAACTGGTCAGTTATGAAATGGAGTCATAGTAAATCAAAATTTTACAACCTAAACTAGCCTTTCCTTTCCATAAAAACTTGAAATTATATCGAAGATTTGCATTCAAGACACTGTATGTGTGAATTGCATTTTTAACGTATTTTTGAATAAAAAGACAAACAAAAAATTAGTGTCACATCATTGACCTGCTAATGAAATGCATTTAATATGACAACAGTTTTAAAAGTTACCTGCAGAAAAGATCCATGTGTCCAGACTGATGTCGTTCACCACAGCGAAGGGCTTTCTTAATTAGTCTGCAGAAGAGACGCTGCGGTCTGCTGAATTTGTTAACGGCTGATGCCATTTGCTTAAATGCATACCGGATATAGCTGCCTGTGCTTGCTTTGAGGCCTGAAAATGGATCTGATCCTGAGAGCGACTGGAGAACATAGTACAGGGCAGCCAGAAACTCCTGCACGCTGGTGTGGATAAAATGAAAGCCCCTTTCAAAGGTGAGGGACGCTCGATCCTCTTTAAGTATCTCCGAGAGGAACACCTGTGAGAGTTTGGTACTATCCAGATTAAAAGAGTTCAAATCAGAGCTTTCAAAGATGAACCGTCTCTCCAGGAGGCCTTTGAAGGCCATAGCTCCCAGGCTTTTGAGTATAGGCTGCATTTCGCCAAGGACGTGAGGGGCATGCTGAAGCCTGGTGTGATGGGAGCCCTCGCTACGCCCTTGCACGTGGAATAGCAAGATGGATTTAACAAAGCAGCAGTAGATTTCAGAGATCGTGACTGGTTTGGAGTTCTCCTCAGAAGGTCCTAATAAAGAGTTTGGTTGGTTGGCTTCCTCAAGGCCTCCTTTTTCTCCTGAATTGGCACTTGCAATATCAGGACAAAAGCAGGAGCCGCCATCATGCAAGGCGGTGGACATGATCCAACAGAATGCAGGAATGTGGCACATGAGTAGAAGGGGTTTATGGGACGACACTGAAGCCCACACTGCCTCGGCAGCCTCAGGAGAACTGCAGTTCTGCTCAAAGTACTGCTTCTGTTGAGCTACAGAGAAACCGAGCAAACTGTAAAACTGGCTGACCAGAACTGGAGGAACTTTGGTGACCGCATGAGGTCGTGAAGTAAGGAAAATGGACACTCCTGGAAGCAGATTTCCCTTGATTAAGTTCACCACAATGGATTGTATAGGCTGCACCCGCTCATGATCTGAACACTTGGGAGTGTGTTCGAAATTAAGAGGGTAGCAGAACTCATCCAGACCATCTAAGATGAGTAAAAACTGTGTTGGGTTTGAGTTCAGTAACTCGGGCAGGAAAGGTTTCAGGTGGATGTAGTGATCCGAGAGCAGGTCCTGCAAGCTCTGCTCTTGAGTTATGAGGTTCAACTCACGAAAGGACAGAGATAGGACAGTCTTGGACGAGTTGGTTTCTGCAGCCCACTCTCGCACCAGGCGTCTCACAACCGTGGTTTTCCCACTTCCAGCAACTCCTGACAGCATATTCACACCACTCGCTGGGTTGCACAGCAGATTCTCATACACGTCCTTGAAAATGCAGATCTCATCCGCTCGTGTCTTGAAAGCATCCCCAACTCCTGCTGACTCATGTCGGCATTGAGAAGACGATGCATAACCAGCTTGTCTTGAAAAAGTGATATCAGTCCAGCACCCGCTCTCATCCTGTCCTAAAGTCTGTCTTCTGATGCTGAGATAGTCCACCAGGCCATGCTGTCTAGCCAAGATGTCCTTGTGTTTTTTGAGATGCTCTTGCCTGTTGGCCTGTCCTAGTTTGGCGGTCTTATCTTGAACACTTGGTAGTACGTAGAGGAAAGCCCTGCATGATTCTTCTCCTCTCCCATTTAGCACATCCAGCAGAACTCTCATACATTCTCTCTCACCTCGAACAGCCGAACCTCTAATAAGACTGAGGTCCTCCTCGGTCACTGCCCCCACATTAAACAGCACGTCCAGAAGGCGTGTCAGGTGTTCGCTGTAATTCTCCAGCAGCTCCACGCGACGCTGTTGAATCTCTGTGCTGCAGGATCCAACAGCCATCACTTTAAAAGGTTCCTGATTATGGGGGAGTTTGGGGCCCCCTAATTAAGGCCTGACCTTGCCCCCAAAGGAAACAAAATGAGTAAAAAGTCAAAACTTGAAAGTATTTATTCTTTTTACATTATTTCAGAAGCATTTTTAAACAACAATTCAAAAACCATATAAGTCACAAGCTCACAATTTTTATTTAGGCTATTTATTTTCACAAGCTCACAAATAAGTAGCGTTTGAGGAGGTGACCATGGCAACTGTGAGCTCATCTAGCATTTTTTTTTAGATCGGTATCGGACGGTAAATCGACAACAAATACCGTCATGATTACTTAATTGAAATCTATATGAATAAAATTTATATGAATATAACTTCAATCACAAAACATTTAATGATTAAAATGTAGGATGATAAACTCTGACAGGGACAACAAAAGATTGCGCGAATAGGCTACTTCACGCCCGGAAAACGAACAGAAATTCCTAAAGAGTCTACCCCCATTACATTTAGGCTACTATATAATTTATGTACATCCAATGCATATATTAACAGTTCCAAACAAGCACATTGAAAAAACAAAGCGAAATTGTTAAATAAATAATAAACGAACTTACAGGGTCACACGCATTATTCCCACACTTCCGTAGAATCTCATTGATTTAATAGCTGCTGAAAGTGAAACTACCCTGTGCGATACAATAAGCCTATTATGAACAATTCATATCTTGACAAATCCGATGTTCTGTCGATTACTTGTAGGCTGTTACTAAATGAGACAAATATTCATCGCTATAGTAAAACAAACTTTTCAGTAGTCTAAAATATGAAATACTCCGTATGTATTCCTCCGAAAGTCACCTGATACACAGTATATTGTGCAATAGCAGAATACAAGAAGTCGATCATCTCCGCCCAGAGGCAGAGTCACTCGTGCTCTTCTCCGAATTGTCTTATTTATTGCATGTGGCTGGTTTCTGTTTACCATAGAACACTATAATGCTTTGAAATCACTCATACATTTATAAGTAATTAACACCTACAGTTTAACGTACAGGCTCCATTCAAAATGCTTCAGTTTTGGTGTGGAAAAACAAAAATATAATTGCCAGTGACATAATGACACCACCAGTCTCCTTCTCCAATTCCTACGTCTTTCTTTTCCTTTCCTGGATCATTACCAAAACCTGACAATTTGCTGCCAAACAAATAATAATATTGCCTTTATTAAATGCAAAATTAGATTTTCACTAGATTAAAAAAAAAAATACTGCGAACACAAATACCCATTCCCATACATGCTATGAAAAATACAGAGCTGACAAGGCAATGCTTTTTTTAAAATCAGCTTTAATATGCTCAAATACATTGTCAGTTTGCTTCAAAATGACAGATTTCTTCAGGTATTTTACACAAATAGTATAAAACAAAAGCACAAGTGTGAATTATATATCAGCTAGGGGGCCAAGAGTTTGTGTGGACATTATTGGGGTATTTTTTTTTATAAATGTCAAAAATAGATATTTGTTCTAAATACATTACATGCGGCACTTACGCATACACCTTTCAGTGTTTGCTTTTAAGCATCCTCAACTATGACACCAGCAATGATGCTCAATATTTCTCTGAACATTCTCCTTTGACGGACATGACATCAAGGTGATATCAAAAAATTGTGCTATCAAGAGTTTTAGGTGCCTGAAATCCTAGAGTGCAAAGGGTATGCCAAATTTCCACTTTTTAGTTTCGAAAACAACATTTGGATTTGGTTTGTGAACATTTAGTAGTGCTTTGTTACCTTTTATCTACGTATACACAAACCTGCCTCAAGCCAAGTTACATATTTTTTTGTAGATAACATACAACTTACCCTACTATTATGGCTAACAACATCTCTCACAAGCTTTGCAGTGAGCTTAGAGCAGTGCTAATATGGGAAATGGCGTTAATATGAGAGATTATTGTGTCCAGTGTATTAGGAGCACAAAGCCTGAGCGATTTCATCACTGAGAGCGTGAGGAAAGACCACTCTCAAAAATCAATCTTTTGTCCATCACTGGATTTCTTCTCATTTTTGCAGGAACTCTTATCTTATCAAAGATACTTTCTAACATTTTGAAGCACAGATTTGGAACTGAGAAAATAAATATTGACTGATCTCTGAACTGATTGAACCCTTAAAGTGGGTAATGATTAATGAATGAATCATAATGTAAAAAACAGGGCTGGTTTTCTAGCATAGTATACTATCATTGGACATAGTGTGCGGATTCTTTCCATCAACATTAAGATTTCTTACGGTAGCTTTACATACATGACACGCACCTTCAATGCACTTGGTATACGCTCCCTAAAAGTTTGTCCTCCTTTTTTAACTTTTTCAACTAATATTAATAACTTATGAGCAAAATTATGTCGCACAAATAGTGTGTAGAACAGGTTTAACCGTTGAAGTGAACAAGTCATCTTCTCTATGCAAAAAGTAATTAATACCTTTCCTATGAACGCAAAAGTGTATTGGTTCTGAGTAGGTTTGGATTGCAGAATTCATAGAAAAGTAAAAGTAATCACGGGTGAACATAAATAGAACCGAAGCTAACAACTACTCATTATGAACCCTGATTTACCTGGTTAGCATGGCTGAGGTCACCTTCTCTAACAAATCAACATTTCCCAAATAAGCTAGATAAAGACAGAGTGCAGGAAATGCACATATATGTTGTTATTTCTTGGCTTTTTGACATATAAAATCATAATATTCATATAACAGTATTAATCCCCCAAAACATAAATAAGTTTGCTGGATTTTCACAACTTGAAGCAGAGGCCTTTGGTGCAGCTGGCTGGCGTCTGATTGGCAGAGAGAAGCTCCGCCTTTAGTCATGTGATTGATGAACTAAGGAGCGTATCTGGAAGATCCTGTGAGAATGCAGGAAGTGCTTGGTCATGACTCGTCCATCATCTTGAGTTGAGGCGAGGGGCAGTCTGAGAAATAAAAAAAAATATGTTCGTTATCGTTTTTCTTCTCGCTGAAATAATCTTGATAAAAACGTTTTTTTAGTCCGCAGTGCTCACCACAGAAAGGTGTCCATTCTTAGCCTTGGCTATCAGCAACTCTGAGCCAGATGTAAAATCTATGATCCCTTCTTTTCCTTGGGCCACACTGAACTTTATACTGTTCATAAGAGGGAAAGCAATAGTTTTTATTAATAAAAGTATAATAATTTCATAGATAGAATAAATAGAATATTTCATAAACAGAAGTCTGCCTTGAAACGTCAATAGTATTTTAAAAAATGATCATTTTGTGTCTACAACTCACCTTCCCTGGTTAATGTTAATGCTGTTCATCTTTTCAGCACAGATGGCCACTTTGGTTAACGCCTCAATGACATGCTCACTCTGAAGCACCACATCACCCTGTGACACCAATACAGTTCATATATTCACTCTGAAAGCAGTCGGTTTAGCGCTTAAGGAAATTAAAAGCAAATAAGTGATCTTTAGACTTACTTTCTGCTTATTGTCTTCACAAGCAACATGGAGAACAAACATGCCGTCGCTTAGAGAGCTGACAGAAATCCCTACAGATAAAACAGAAGTGGTCAATGTGTCACTTTTTAATTTGTTGTGATTCACTTTTTTCTATGGGTGTTGTCATACTAAAGCACACAAGACATCTCAATTTGTGAAAAAAAGTGGCTTTTCGAATTAAGTTTGGACAAAATTCTGAATAAAGCATTTAAGTCTGCCTCGAAATCACAGTCTCTGGTTCGTTTCATGTGAATCGTATGCCTTACAATTGGTATGAAAGCAATCTGCTCTAACTGAACCGTATTGATATCGTATATTACTCACATTGACAATGCAATCATACCATAATATAGTCAAACTAAGTGTAAGTGTAAGTTTAGGCTGTGCCATTCTCTCTCCCTCTTCCTTCTCACCTTTCAGTGAGCTGTAGTCGATACGCTGTTTGAGCTTGGCCTCCTCCACAATGATGGCACTGTTCGCCATGAGCAGGAGCTGTCGGTTGCGTGCTTTGTATCCTTTTCTATCATACTTAGTCACTGGAACAGCATACTGTGGGGAAGGATGGATTATATTAGCACAATCACTTTTCTTCTTCACATACTGCCTATTATCATAGATGCTTCTTCACACATTGTCATGTATAGTACTGTATGTTGTCCGAGCAAACACTGACAAACACTGAGAAATAAGGTAATATGTAGGAGATCACATATTCAGTCATGTAAAATGACACATTTCTGGCGTTTTTGGAGAGACCGATGAGAGGATGTAGTTGTGAACCACAGTCTGAACCACATTAAAGAGAGATTTCCCAAACAAACAGCCCAGAATTCAACCAACCTTCATCTTCTCATTCCCCAGAGTCTGTTGCACTTTAGGGTTGATGTCCTCGCCATCTTTTGACACACGCAGACAAAAAAATTTGAATATACAACACAGGCAATGTGTCTTCAAAGCGAAATGAAAGCTGAAAACTCACTAAGTCTTGAGCCCACAAAAAGTTTTGGGACGCTTTGTGGGTAGTTGTCCTTCTTGTCCTTAAAGATTTCACTTGCGACCATCTTCTGCTCCAACTGCAATAATAGATAATAAAGCTGTTTTTTCAGTAACTCAATCAAAATAAACTAATAAATAATCAAATATTTAAAAAATACAAAATTTGGCTATAATTAATAATAAGTTATAAATTTAAATAGATTATAATTAAAAATAAAATAAATAAAATATTTAACCATGTAAAATGTAACAACAGGTACTTTCATTCTAGGTTAATTTACAATAGCCCTACAATCAAATAAATAAATAATACAATATAAAATACAAATGACAAACTAAAAATAGAAATTAAATTAAAATAAAATACAACATTTAAATAAATTAAATTAAAAATTAAAAAATAAAAATAAAGTAAAAAAAAGTTATAAAACAAAACACCTGGTGCTTCCATTCCAGGTTGATATTCTTGCAGTACTTCCACACCATATTCTGCATGCAAAGTTTGCGGAGCTGCTCTGAAGCCTGTGAACAAAAGGAAGGCATCTCATCTCACATCTAGAGGAGTCGATGATTGTTCTGATGACTGATTCATGACAGATATATCTCACCTCAATGAGGGAGGGAGGTGGCGTTGGCCAGCTCTTATCCAAAACAGTTTTAGGCAGGCTCCTGTGCAACTTCATTAGGAACGAGTAGCGAACGTAGTCCAGGAAGTATTCATTCTCTGGACAACGTGGCTGGTGGCGGTAGATGAAGCCTTTGATGAACCTGTAACAGTGATCACAGACGGCAAAAACAAAAGTGGCCATAGGCTCTCACTGACCAGAATCACATCACTGACTATTGTACTAGTCATGTCATGCACACAGACCTGCGGATGGTGTTGGCAGCCTCTCTCCTACGCTTTGCTTCCCTGCAGGCCAGAATACCTCTCCACCAGGCTTGGATCTTGATAGCTGATTGACGCATTTTACGGTATTTGGTTTTTTGACTGTAGCCTTTCCAGGATGACTGCAGTTTGGTAGCTGTGCATGAAGAACAGTTTGTTGAGGTTAAGTTTAGGTAGAGCATCCAGTGAAGAGTTACATGATATGTCTTTGAATATGGCTCATACCAAGGCTGTGTTTTCTGACTTCTAGTGCATCTTCGGTTGCGAACAAGGTTTTGGGGAAGCGGATGAAGATTTTGGTCCTTTAAAAGAAAAAAAAGGCCTTTTTTGGAACCACAGAAAGAATACTGAATTTTTTAATACTACTATAATAAAAGTTAGCATTTTTTAAACGCTTATTTGTGTAACCAACCTGCCGAGTTTGTACTCCTCAGGTTTGTAGCCGAGGTGCTTGACGAGTGTGGAAACTCCATCGACCAGACGGCCATCCCAGTTCGGCCAGGTGTCTGGACACAGGGATTTATACCTGAAACAGGAAATCACAAGCATTACCCACAAAACTCAACTACATTTTAAGCAGAAAGAGCAATCACTGTTTTCAACACACTGCTTGTTCCCTTTGACCTTAATTATCACTGAAGTCCACAGGAAGTGCTGAGCTTTTAAAAGAGGATTAGAAAGTGTGAAGAGTTTACAAATAAGATTTTTTTGACAGAGCCTTGCTGAAAAATAGCCTAAATCAGCTAAATTGGTTCAGGCTAGCAATAACTATAAGTTAAAAGAGTATTTGTGGGTTACCATTATGAGGTATGTTTGGTCACCCAACAGGGCTACTCTTGAAATTATAAGCAGGTTGTGCCATTAAAAGATCAGCATTAAAGCGTAATGGGTTTTCATGTTTTTGAATCGTCGCTCCAGCCGGGACACCACATCACAGTATGGTAAGGGGCGTAACATTTCCGTCACACGCTTGAGGCAACATCATATGACCCCTTTAAAAACAGTTAATCTGGGCTTAAGTTTTTGTATTCTTCTGCCATGTAGATGCCAACCTCTGCAGGAAGGTCTCGTAGCGACGGCGATATGCAAAGCCAGCTCTCCTCACCCTAAGGTTTTCCATCAGACCAAGATATTTTACTTGGTGCCTGATGAGGACTTCATCAAAACGCCCTGTAGAGAGACAGAGAGATTTCAGTTTAATGAGGCTTCATAAAATGTAACGTATGTTTAAAACTATAGATTTGCCACTATTTATGAGGATAAGAGCTTATTAACAAACAAAAGACGCTAACAAATATCAACAAAAGGCAAGGGCAAAACAAAGGAGCTGATGAAGTAAGAGAGAATCAGTGTGAGGGAACGAATGACTGCAGTTTGAACAATGAATCCATTACATCACATGGAGAAGAAAAAAATGGCACAAATACTCTCAAAATATATATAAATACTCAAAATAGATAGATAGATAGATTTTAGCACTTTAACAGTCAGAAAAGAAAATAATTTAATTTTTATAATTTTCTCTTTCTTTTGAATAAAAATTTTAGACATGTATAGCAGTTTGGTTCATCAATGTTTAATAATTGTTAAATGTTTAAATGACATGAAAAAAATGTTCAATAAATTCTACAATAAATTATAATTTGTACAATAAATCATAATACTAATAATTCTCATGTCCTAAAATAATATACCATTTTCTACATCCCTTGGAGTACCATATAAATACCATGTTTTATGAATATGGCAATAATACTAAAACATGGAATGCATCAAACTACCATAATACTGTCATTCAATCGGTAAGGGAACAGGTGCAAGGAATGAGCACAAATGAGAAAAACAATCATTTCTAAGTGATGAAAGGCACTAAAACAAAGTACAGAAAACTGCTCACAAACCTGCTTGCTTGGCATCATTAGGCTTGATGCAACGCACGTAAGACGGTTCCTTAGACATCAGGATTTCCATCAACTTCGCCAGGCTGTACTTGAACTGGGTTGCTGCCTGGTCGCAGCGAGCCAACGGAACGAGAGATCAAGAAAAACAGACGGCCAGTGAGAACAAGCAAGAACACAAGTCCAGCCAGGCAGTGACAATGTGGGAGAAGCCAGTGGTCAACAATGCAAGCAAACAACTAAACAGCAGCCCACCCAAACTCAACCAATGGAGCTCTGCGGAGTGGGCACTGCGATTGGGGGGATTCAGGACTGTATGCAGTCACATGGAGTGAAGAGGTACCACAGTGTCAGGGCATTCCTCACAGTGTGGGTGGCAAGCAGAGATTCGCAATTTCATGGACTGAGGCCAAGCTGCTGTGGTTTATGTATAAATGCCACTATGAACTAGGAACTGATTCACAAACAAATTTTGTTGTTTATGGTTCTGTTTAAACATAAACAACAATATTTGACGCTATATATTTAACTTTCTAGAAATAGCAGTATTTAAAGGCACAACATGTAATATTTTTTTATTAAAATATCCAAAAACCACTAGAACAGTGTTATATATTTTGCTGACTTGTGTACTTACATTATCCCAAATGTTTCGAAGAATGTTTAAATCCAGAGAAATAAGCAATTTTAACTAGTGACACGGACCGTGTCCATAGTGTTATTGTGTCGCCTGCCAATGATGTCATAACCCCTCGATTTCCGGTTTTGTAGAAAACATGGAAACACCAAAAACGCTTTAATATGTTGTGCGTTTTAATAGAACGTTGACGACCGCACAGAGTAGCATTATAACAGAACTTTCAAATG